AACAAAATATGCAAGTTGCGACATGTCATGTCATTTATCTACCTTTTTTAACCGAGAGATCTACAGAAAAGATCGAATTTGTCGAAAAACAGAAAAACTTGGCATGGTGCGTTTAATCGGTCATATAAGATCATGGAAAGATTTCGATTGAGTTAATGGATGCCGCAAAAACATGCCCTCAACTGGACCCTTCTCGCTTACCCAAACACCCTCTGTTGAACATGATATACCTTCTCCAGTAGGCGGGCATGGCCATGGTAGGCATCCATGTCAGGTTTGAATGAATTTCCCACACCATATGCATGTTGTGTCACGTCCAGCCATTTATCAGCCAGTTTTCACCGAGAAAACTCTAAAAAATGCAAGAATTATCGAAAACTTAAACAAATTGACATGGTGCTTGATTTGATCATAGAAGGAGGTGGGAAAATTAGGCCATTTAAAGGATGTTGAGAAACAATGTACCCTCAGGTAGAGTCTTCTAGCCAACCCGAACATCCTCAATTAAACATGGTTTACATTTGGACATTCTTAAAATGACCCCGACCTTTTCAACCAGGTGGGCATGACCATCATAGTCATCCATGCCAGGTTTGAACGATTTCTGACACCGTATGCAAGTTGTGACACGTCTGCCCATTTATCAGGCGATTTTGACCGAGAAAACTCTGAAAAATGCAAAACTTGTTGAAAACCAAAACAACTTGGCATAGTGCCTTGAATTGGTCATACTAGAGAACATCCCACGCGTTGCTGCGGGAATTTGTAGCACCGTATGGAAGGGGGGTTTATGGAGTGAGAAATTACCATAAAATGAAAATATATAATAATATCTTGCAGAAAAAAGAATATATAGAATGGTATGAAAAATCAGAAACAATTGGGTTATTATAGTCGCTAGATGTAAAAGATTAAGTTTTAGGACATCAGCATAATTAAAGAAAAATCTACTAATTATTTCAGCATTTCCTTCCTTAGGTAACAATCTAAATCGAATCTAAGAAAATACTAACGTTATTGGCGGCCGCCCTAATGTAATTTAGGGAGCTATGAAAGTTTGAAACGACAAACAATGAATTTTCTTAGTCTGATGATGTTTCTTGCAAAATAAATGGGCAAGTTAAATGAAGTCATGATTGAATATCAATTGAGGACTACCAATTTATCTACATACATAGTAAAAATAATTGCGATACGAATCCATAAATCTATTGTTTTTGGTACTCGACAGAACATGTTGGTAGTAACCTGATACTTGATTTGAAAAAAAAAGGCACAAATATTTTTACCCAACATAAAAGATTCTCTCGGGTGTTCAAATGTAACAAAAATTCATTTAGTTGCATATACCAACTGGATTGGATCCTTCCTGCATGGTACACGATAATTGTGAATTAGCATATTCATAGATGATTTTGAGCCCGTTCACAATTGATTTTGAGCAAAATATAAGAGAACAAATATGAGATGTTTGATCACAATAATTGCTACAAAAAACTGAGAAAACAAATGCTTCTACGTGTAGCATTGCAAAAGAAAGAGAACACATCATGGCCCTGAATATACATAAACAAAACAGGAATCTAGCAAGTAACAAAATTATCAATTAGAAAACCAAAAAATACGGTTATATAATTGATTGTTGATATGTATTCCATACATTGATGTGCACTGTAGTTCACTAAATTAATCATACAGAAGAAGCGAGCAAAGATATCCCCAAGCTTTCGGAAGACTTTCCATTGCAGGTGCTCCTGGACAGTTCTGATAAAATAATCTTATGTGCTCCACCTGATGACAAAAGCAATACAAATAAACATCCTTAGACTGAAACATAACTGTTTTTGACTTTCCGTTGGAGCCAAACTAAGGCCTGAAATTAAAATGTAATTATGAAAAAAGAGAACAGAGACCGCCACTAATCACCACAAAATCGAGATCATGCTCCTTCCTGAGAACGGAGGTTGCAACTTATGCCCAATTTTTCTTCCTGAATCAGCGAGGTCTTGCTGATGTGAGAGAATAGGCGTTCCCAGCGACCATGGGTAATAGCCCTGGAAGATGCAAAGTTGCAAAAAAAGCACTTACTCAGTTACTCGTGACCAGGCGAGACCTAGTTGTGATAGTACGAACCAACAACAAATCGAGCTCATCTTTCCTCACGATCTGGTGCAAGAAGTGGGGGAGAAAAGCGTCGGGAAGGAGAGAGAAGCCTCCTGATGCGGCCCTCCTCTCGGACACGGCCCCCCATCTTTCCTCACGATCTGGTGAAAGAAGTGGGGGAGAAAAGCGTTGGCGGCAGGGAGAGAAGCACCCTGATGCGGCCCTTCTCTCGGTGCTGCATCTTGAAGAACGCCGTGCAGGAGCCGCTTGCCAGATGGGAGATTCGTTTGTATTGAATCTCCGTTTTGTGTTGTTCTTGGCGGACTTTAGGTCAGTGATGGGGTGGACAAACAACATGTGAGATCCGTCTCCCTCCTTTGTAGTGAATTTGTCCATGATGCTTCTGAGTGGATTACAATTAAGAGGAGCTCAGGCGTCACTGGAGGAGATTAAAAGTTGAGGAAAAGGCTGGAGAAGGAAGAGTCACTTTTGTGGGGAGAGGAGAGAACAGACGATATAGATCGGAGATGGCTGGTCCTCTGTCAGTTTGGACACTGGTAATGGAAGGGACGACGTGGCATTTGACTTAATACTTGAAACGTTGGTCAATTTGTTGTGGGTTCCGCTTGGAAACTTCCAACGAAGAAAAAAAAACCTGACGTGGTCTTGAGTGGGACTGTGTGACGTGGCTGGATGTGATTGGATGATGACATGGCTATGCTGCATGTTGAGATAAATGAAGTAGTGGAGGTAAACTTCTTAAGTATATAGGATATAGGATAAGGCATGAAAAAAATGGGGCCATTTCAAGCATGTCAGGAAACTACGTGCTCTTAGACAGAGCCATCTCGCCTACTCAAACACCTCTGTTGATCATGTTCTAAGTTTTTCGTTTTCCATCTTTTGTAGTGCGTCAAATATAACGCTAAAAAAGAAGACTTTGGTTTTCCTTTTCAACCGGGCTGGTTTTTTCTTCGGTTTTTATATTATTATTTTTTTCTTTTCTTTTTTCTGTTCACCGGTGACGAGCCACCTACCAAAGCGACGATGTCCCCGCCACCACCACTGACCACGTTACCCGTGAGGAGAGAACAACCACCACCCGCGGGGGCAAATCCCAGGCCACGCCCGACCACATCTACCCGAAGCACAGGCTCCGATCCGTGTCAGGCCCCAAACCTCCCCCGTTCTACGTGCGGCCAGCATTAAGGGCACCCGCCCAGCCCCGCGTACTGTCGGTCCACATGCAGGAGAAGAAGGGCAACTCCACCACCTTGCGGCATCAGCAGAACCCAGCGCAGCGCCGTCGACGCCCCCACAGGCCCGCATCGCCTCCCTGCCAAGCTGAGGCCTTGCACCCCCGACCAGGCAGAGCACCACAGCCACCATCAGCAACAACTGCCGGGGTGAGACCGCAGCTTCCGGCCTTAGCCACCTCGGCCCGCACGCCCTGCCGGCCATGACCAGCCGTGGCCCGCAGGTGTGTGTCTTCCCCACCGCCGGCCAGCCAGCAACAGGCAACCGACGAGGGAAACCACCATAAGACCCGAAGCCCCCGGATCCAGACCTGGATGTCGGACGCCGCTCCGGGACGCAGCCGCCGGGCCTCGATCAGCCGCTCCACTGCCGTCGCGCCGCATCAGCCAGCACGCTGCTGCGGGGCCTCGCGTCCGCCCGGCGCCTCTGCCCCGGCAGGGAGCCCCGCGCCCACCGCCACAAGGGAAAAGGGGAGAAGGTGCCCCGCCGCCAGTCACCTTGTGGGGCTTTGCCCTGGCGGCGGCCCCAGGGGGGGAGAGGAGGACTGGGAGTGGAGCTCGCGCTGCCGCCCGGGTCGCCCGGGGGGGGAGGGGGAGGGAGGGGGTGTGAGTTGCTGGAGTAAGAATCGAATCAAGCTCATTTCTTGGGACTACCTGTGTCATTAAGTTATATAGAGATCAAAAATCTGACGACCAAAGTCATTAAGTTATATGGAGATCAAAAATCTATTTTAAGCGAATTAAGGAGCAAGTTAGGTTCTAAGATACTCCTAGATAATAAACGCGTACATGCCCTTTGATTGATTCAGCAAACACGGCCAATTTCTAGCATATAATGGATTTCACTCGATGCCAAGGAGAAGCCTGACACCTGGCATCTGATGGTTGGGACAGTTTTCATATAGGGCAGCTTCAATTAATTTACCCACAGAGACGACATGTATTGTGGTGGTGTGAGTTTTTTTTTTTTTGCATATTGCGATTTCTGAAATACTGTTCTTTTTGCGGGTCTGAAATACTGTTTTATATGGACATATGATGTGGCTAGAATATCCTAACACCAGTGAGATGCTTTTTGAATCTCAATGATATGCGATTTTAGTTCACCCTATTTCTGTTAATCATTTACCCAACCTCTCAATGTAGTACGTATGGCTTCCATGAGACCATGACTCTTGACGACCAAAGTCATTAAGTTATATAGAAATCAAAATCTATTTTAACCGAGCTGTCTTATTTAGTCTTTTTGCTTTGGTTGATTGATCCCGAACCAGCTTTCTTTCTTTTCTCGGGACTACCTGTGTTCGTCCAACTCAATTCACGCACCATGAATCGGCTAAGTACATGTCATTAACACCAAGAACATGCCACTTTAGATTAAAAAAGAAGAAGCTCTTTTAGACACGGGATATGACATTTTTAAAAGCAATGAAGCAATGCATAAGTACATGATATAGCGAGACTTGTAGGAGGCATGAAATAGAAGGACAATAACTGAATGATCGGCCAGGCCGTCATCTGCTACAAATATTCACGCCCGACAACATGATTGAAATGCAAACACACAAGCAAGCACAAGAGCATATATAGTACATGCCGAATCCATAGGCAACAATGTTGTATACCGTCTTAACCACTTAACTATGCTTCTTCGAAGTCATCGAGTTTCCACTGGCCATCGGTGCCCTTGACCATGCATTTGTTTTTAATGACCCACCAGCTCCCCGGCACTGGGTATTCGTCTGTCAGCAGGTCGATAGTCTTGTTCACCAGCGCCACGTCGCGGGGAACCACTAGTTTGAAGTCCGCCTTGTCGCCATGATCCCCTGCGACACCGTGCAGGTACAACTCGAGGACGTGGTGGGTCGATATTTTGTGAAACACGTAGGGTGACCGGTCCGTGTCAATTACGATCGTTGCTGTCGCGCAGTCCACGTACCACATTAACAACACAGAGGGAGGGTTCTGTGGCACGAGGTCTTTGGCGTTCGCCACGTGGAGTGCCCGCAGGAGGTGGAATGAGTCGAAGGCGGACTTGAACGTGGGGTTCCCGACTCGCGGGCACGCCAGCAGTATCGCTGTCACGGGGCACGGCGGTTGCTTCGAGTTAGGGGGCACGTTGACGTCGTTGGCCACCAGGTCGATGGCGGTGAGGGTGGCGAGTGACGCTCCAAGGCTATGGCCGGTGACGGTGATGCTGGTCACCTCGTCCTTGTACTCCTCCATTAGCCTCCCTACCTCCTCGAGAACCTGCATGTGTGCGTACACCTTTAGTGAAGACAAATTTCACCTTGAACAATTCCGGCTGCTGGTATGTTATTAAGCCTAAGATTGAACAGGACAATATATATATATGAAGTATGCAAGGCTCACCTGCTCTCTGGCGCTGGTCTTGTTGTACATGGAGTTGTTGTCACTGGACGTGTACACGGATAGGAAGCCACGGTGCACCTTGGCGTTCTTGTAATCTTCGTCAGCATAGCGGCCCAACACCGGCGCGGCAGACACCTGAAGGAAGTGCTTGTCTTCCTCCCACTCCAACTCGTTCTCGGTGCCGCGCCACACCACGACGATGTCACGCCTCCCCAGTGCTGTAACTCCCTCGTTCGTCGCCACCGCCACGTAACCCATCCAGTTGGACGTCGGAGTCCCCTCGGCCTTTCCCAGCGGTTGCACGAACAGCGCGTTGGTCACCGTTGGCACGGATGTGGCCAACCTCGATGCCGTTGATCCCCCGCAGGTCGCGTAGAGGAACTTGGTGACCTTGTAGTACTCAGGGTGGGTCACGGTGGAGGCGGCGAGAAGGTGGTCGCGGCTGTACAAGCAGAAGCCGGCGTGAGGTGACCGCTTCTCAAGGTTGAACACGTCGTGGGCGGCCGATGCGAGCTCGCCGTAAGATATGATGGATTGTCGGAGGTCGTAGTCCAGCGGGTCCAGGAGCCCAACCCACGAGTCCGAGCCCTGGAGCTCGCGCCACCGGCTGGCGATGTTTGCACCTCCAAGCTTCGGCGCCGGCGACGGCATGGGCGCGTGCGCGGTGGGCGCCGTTACTGGTAGTGTGTTGTCCATTCTCGCCTTCTCTACCTACGTACTCGTATGCAGTCGCACTATGGCTATGTGTTGCTCTTGGCTAGCTAGATTTGCATACCCTTTCTGCTCAGTTGGGCCTCTATTTATAAGAAAATGGCAATGCTCTTGATCGAGTGATCCTTCCAACAATGCCGTCGTTGAGATAAGAAGATGCTACCCTTTTTGCAAAATAAAAAATAAAAAAAATGCTACCATAAAGAAAAAAGATACAAAAAATGTTACACCTACAGTCAATCTACAAAATTATTACGGTGGATCGTTTATTTTTCAGGTATCTGAAAAAACATGTATCATCACTCACTTTCATCAAAAGCCATTCGATCTTCATCCAACGGCTCAAAATAGATCGGCCACTATTCATCTTAAACCTCCACCTTCTTCCTCTCACGCAGCCACCGGCTAACCCTAGCCTAACCGCCTACCTCCGCCTCACCGCCCCACCCTCCCCGCACTGCCGTGCAGACCACCGCCCCAGCCATCCCTATAATCCCTGTCACACCAGTGAACAACTCTGATGACCTCCTGCACCCCCACCCCTAAGATAAATAATGGGGTTGTGGCTTCACCCTAAGATAGATAATGGGGTTGTGGCTTGCGCCCTAAAATAGATAATGGGGTCCGGCCTCCACATCTTATGCACTCGGGAAGAAGGAACGGAGAAGGAAAAAGTGACCAACGCAACAAAAACGGTACCTTAGAAATAGAAAAACCGTTATCACCGGACATTCCTTA